ATAGCAGATGAAATCAAGGGTCAGCACACAGTGGTCGCCATGTCCCAGTGGAGCGTTAATTGTTACCTGATCAACGAAGTGTCATTCGTTGATGATGACCAAATCCAAGAGGGATGGTAGTTGGCCTGCGCTGTTTCTGGTGGGTGCAACGACATGTTGGGTCCGAGCGCTCTGCTGAACGACTTCAAACGGCGCCGCTGCAAAAAGTCCGCCTGATTCGACGCGCTGGAGTTCCATCCAGGAGGTTTTTGGGACGTTGAAGTCACCTACCAGCAGGAGAAGAGTGAAGTGGTAGTTGGAGGAGAGTTGCTCAAGGGTTTGTATAAGGACTTGGTCATCTTCAGGAGGACTCGAAGGGCTACGGTAGACCACGCCAAGAAGGAGGGAATAGGACCCGCGCAGCGGGATTTGGACCCACAGTGCATCGCAAAAAGGTGCGGGGGTGGTGTCAGAGAGGACAATCGGGAATGGTAGCGCCGCATGTAAGTACAGAGCAACCCCACCAGCCCTCCCTCGTTTTAAGTCAGCTCGAAAAATAGAGTAACCGCCTATCGAGATCTCCGCGTCAGAGACGTCTGGTGCGAGCCAGGTCTCTGTGAGTGCGATTATGGACAGTTGTTCAAGGCAAGCTGACTGTTTAACATCGCCGAGTTTGTTGAAAAGGCTGAGGCAGTTTGTGGACAAGCATTTCAACACTGTCTCTGCTGCCTCCGAGGGTGAAGAGCTGAGAGTTGAGTGACCAGGGTGGTTAGCAGACTTAATAGTTGTGCACCGGGTTTGAGTATGAGTCCAAGGCTCCAAGGGGGACTCTGGGACGATGTTGTCTGCTTCCTGTCTTTGTGGTTAATGTGCATGCATTTCGCCTGCGAGGTTTTTTTCGTCTGCGAGGTTTTTTTCGTTCCGTGGGAGCTCGGTTTGCTCGGACCTTTTGGCTGGGACGGAGTGATGTTGTCTGCTTCCTGTCTTTGTGGTTAATGGGGGTGCATTTCGCCTGCGAGGTTTTTTTCGTCTGCGAGGTTTTTTTCGTTCCGTGGGAGCTCGGTTTGCTCGGACCTTTTGGCTTTGTGGGACGGAGTATTTTCCGCGTGGGCGAAAATTTCGACCGATGCTGTTTGTAGCTTTTTCATCATCCTCTTTTCGTTGACCAGATTTGCTGTTGATCAAAGGTTTGCTGCAAGATCCCGCCTTACTGGATCCTTGGGCGTTTTGGCGCGGTTTGGCCGGAAAAGTGTCTTTGTGAGGCCCTGAGCGCTTGGTGATGGCACCTTGAAGAAATGATTTTGGTGGCGCTCCAAAGAGGCTCGTTTTCGCGGAGGACTGCACCTTGAAGCTAGCCAGCAGTTTTCCAATCTGGCGAGTTTTATGTGGCTTGTTTGGCTGCAGTCGCTCTTCGTTCGTGCTTTTGTGAACACCCGATCCGTCAGCGATCAGCGTGGCTAACAGGATGTACGAGGGATTTTCCGGATGGCTGTAGTCATGTTTATGGCTTCGGGTGTTGGGGTCCTGAGCGACGGTTGGGTCCACAAGCACAGGCCGCTTTTGACGGAATGGAGCTGGAGATTGGCTTCGTTTGTTGTCCCCGCACATCTGACTAAGTCCAATTCAGAGGCCGTGATTTTGTTGACGAGTGCACGGCTGCAGCTATGCCCTCTGATACGGAGATAAGCGTTGACAGGTCCACGTAGTTTGGGCGCTGCTTGCATGTGGGGTTTGCCTCCTCCAGGGCGTCCCTACCTTTGATGGGCGATAGGCCTGTGGTGGTCGAATAAAAACTGCTGTCCGGGGGCGCAGCTGGTTTCGTCGGCCTGCTTTCGGGAGCACAGGGGGATGTGACTACAATCGGCTTCGTCATGAGTTTGGGGTCGTCTAGTTTGGTGCCCGGTGGAAGCCTGTTTCGTGCTTCCACTCCTGACCTGCTATAACCAAACTTACGCGCGTCTAGAGGACGATCCTCAGATAGGCGCCCGATCATTGGGTTGGCCTTTTGAATGCTGCCAGCCCGCTCCAAGATCTCCTGTACGTCGGATGGAGAAGAAGGAGTGACTAGAAGTCGAAGAGTTCGCTTACTTCCCTTCTGGCGTAGCCATTCTGCGTGGAGCGATTTATCAGGCGTGCTAAGGATCGACTGTGCCAGCTTCGCCGGCGTGATTTTTCCGGAGAATGATCCCCAGATTATCAGCCTGTTTTCCCTTAGGCGCCTGTACACTAGAGACGCTGTGGCGAAGCCATGGGGCCCGGTATGGATATCGCGAGGTATTGGTTCAGCGGGGATAGTTCCTTGCCAACTTTCATCCAGGTCGCTTCATTCTTAGCGCCTGAGTCCTCCGGTGCCTTTGAAAGACGCTCTAATTTCGCTTGGAGTATCACAATTAAGGCGGAACACCGACGGTGGTCTTTCTGAATCTGCACTGGGGATTGATTACCGTTTTGATGGACTCTCCTCTTCGCTGAGGTATGCATTGCACCCTTGACGTAGAGGCGGCTGGCGCAGACAAACGGTTCAGGAAAGTTGGCTAGTCGGCTTATCTGTTCGTCCTGTAAACCCGTACGTTTGAAATGCCACCAGGCCTTGCAGGTGTGGCATTGAATACCGCGTTTGACGTTCGACGGGCAGCAATTTTGCCCACATCTGTTGTTGTCTATCAATGGCTGCAGAGGGCAATCGGTATAAGTTGATGTCATGTTTCGGACTAGATGTGAAATAGGAAGTGTGCTCAAAGTATAAAGGGTTATCTCTCAAACGTTTTGTTAGAATAATAAAATTCAACAATCATTCGTGTGTGCTCTGTGAATGGATTGAACAACGAAAAAATTCTTTCACGAATTTGCACGAGGGAAAAACGAAACCGATTTCGAACGTACCGCGCGAGTGGTCTATGAGGCTATTTGGCTATTTGGCTTAATTATAATTCGAGAAATGATGCAACTCGTCCGAATTTTAAACAGCTTTAAAGTAACTAGAGTATACCACTTGCGTTTTTCAAATGTCATTCTATCATCCAGCACTGATAAGTAACCTACGAAAAAACGAATATCCGCGTCACTTTAGTGCAGGGAATGTCAAAATGTGATTGAAACTTAACAACTGGTTCCACAGAATTTCGGTAGCCAGTGGATTTATGGTCAAGAACCATGAAACCGAGTCTCGTCGATCAACCGCAGACTTTTTCACTTCAATATCACAATCGTCGACAGCATGACATCAGTGTTCAACACCGATGCTTCATTGCCGTACATGGTTGAACGGGGGCTGAGACACTGCCCACACTTAGACAGAAGAAGGATTTGGATCCTCAAACAAAGCCTTTGGCTCAAACGCCCGACCGCAAGGCAGCGGTGTT